GTGGGGCGCTCAGGAACAATCCCCCTAGGAGCGCGAAATCCCATAGGACTTCTGACGAGCACAGACACGCTTCAGAAGTCCCCTATGAGGAATCACGACATTAAAACACTTAACGTTTTCTCGACTTTTAATTTCAACAAGTTGCACACAGTTAAATTAGCTTTTAATTGAAGGATATAACAAATTGGATTTCTAATGGGAGTTTTAGGAGGGAAAATATGAACACTAAACTTAAATCTAACTATTATAATCATGTTTCAAACCAAGTTGGCACGTAGAGTTTTTAATAAGCTGTATGAAAAATGTACTAAAATATCTAAATATTGGTGGAGTTAAAATATTTCACCAAGTTCAATCTCTTTTGACTTTATAGGAAACAAAAATTAAGCAAATTAAAGAAACTATTCTTTAAATCAGTGGTTCCCAATTAATGGTACCTATTGGTATCGCATGCCAGTAGCGACGGTAAGTGAACACTTTTGCAGTTATGAAAGATCGTTGAATAGTTCTTAATTCAATAAGATGTTTGCAACACAAGTTATGACATGTGGAACAGCCTCCCTGATTACATCGCTGGCGCTCCAAGTATGAACGCGTTCAAGAACAGACTAGATAAAGCAATGGAGTAATATATATATGTTCACACTTGAAATGCCTAGCACCATATCGAACCTGGTGTAAGTCTAGTAGGTATCTCAAACTATCGCCAGTTTGGAAAAGATCCGGTGAAAGGACATGCTTTTAGATCTTCTGTGAACGAGTCACGAAACGTACAAGAATCGAAGATAGGCCACATCAGGCCTACACTTCAGCGCCAACATCACTATGTTATGTTATGATCTGGCAACGAGTTACAACAGTTGCCTCATGTCACCAGCCTGACAGCAGTAGACTATTATTAAATTCAAACGTATATTGAGTTAGTATGCAACTATAATGGCGTCAAGTAAAATGATAAGCAAATTGTAGTACATATTAGCGGCCAATGTATAGCGGCTATAAGGGACCTCCAAGTGGTACACGGTCAAAAAAGAATAACGGAACCACTGTTCTAGATCACAACGCAAGAAATTAAATTCATACTTATTTACATTATGGACATGAATTACTTTAAGAAAGAGATATTGAGCCTTATCACAATTAGAGAAGCTCTGTTTCATGCATAGATATTAAACGCTTATAAAATTTACATCGGTTTCGCTAGCATCAACAAACAAATGTATTTTTTACGATTATTTCATGACAATCATGGAAGGCGACGAGTTTCCGCCATTAAAAACATTTTTAAATGTTTTTCGCCATTAAAAATTTTTTTTAAATAAGTAGGAAAGTATACGCATTATTAGAAGGTATTTTCAAATCGTAATCGGAAGAAAATACTTAAGTTTTCCTATGCCACATAATAATAACAAATTTCGAATGTTACAAATTTAAATTCGTCGTAAGAATTGTACAGTTAAATCTTAAAGCAAAGATGTATTTGAAAAGTTGTGCAGTCGTATTTTCATGAAATAAATAAAGAACACAATTAAGCTTAGACTTTAAAGACTTATATTATTATAATACTCATAAGTCTTATAATATTGCTCGAACCATAAGACGACGCTAAAAAAGGCGTAATAATAGATTTAACAATAAAGAGAAAATCATGAAAATCTAAATGACAACATATGCTAAGGTCGGCGAAAATAAATAACTGGGGATATAAGCAAAAGGATCGCCTATAAAGAACTTGTAATACACGAGGTACCATAAAATATAATGAAAATTGTTCACAGTTTTTGAGATTGTGAATATACTGCACTGTAAGTAATCATTTCATGAGGTTAATTTCTTCACTAATCAAAAGGGAATTCGTAGATGATCCGAATTAAATGTTTTAGAATACATTTCTAAACACGAAAAATAAAGGAATATAAGAGAAAAAGACGTATTTCAACCTTCCTTATCGAATATTCTCAAGAATATATCTTTTCGTGTCGTTAACTTTCATATATTGATCTGTGAACCTTTTTTTAAGCTTGGGCCTTGGCTATGCATTTTTTCTACACATCCCTTCATCCATTTCAATGTATTAATTCATAAGCGGAATCCAAAAAGAGAAACCGAATAAGCAAGACTGATTATATAAAACTTAATTATATCGAAACACTGCATCAATAATAAATTACAGATCGAAATAAGCTGGCACGTGGAAAATGTTTCATCTAATATTATGAATGATTCAAAAATAAAAAAGATTTCGAAGTATATAGATTTCGTATAAGTATAGAATAGATTTCGACTCACTATATTGTATAAATTTCAGCAGCCAGCGGTTTTTTACACGTTGAAAATAAACGGTCAATAACGTAACGAGCGAAGTCGCCATAATATAATAATTAATTTAGAGGATGGCATACTAATTACATTGTTTGACGCGATACAGTTGAAATTACAACGAAATTTACTGACACTAAGAAAAATGTGTTGCAATGTACAAATAACAAGCACCCGTTGACCTAAGGTGGGTCGCCCTGACTCAGTTGGGCTCGGCTAAAGGGAATATCAGTGCTGCGTGCGTTCTATTCTCAGGTTGTGGGTAAAAAAGTGTTTTTGGACAATAAGAAACATTCATTTTTCATAAGGGTTGAGAATATCAGTCAGGGTAAGAGCGTCAGGGTAAGAATCTAAATCAGTCAGTCTAAAAATAAAAAGTCTATAAATAAGTCAGTCTATCTAAATAAATAAGTCAGTCTATCTTCTATCTAAATATCAGTCAGAGTAAGAGCGTCAGGGTAAGACTCTAAATGAGTCAGTCTAAAAATAATAAGTCTATAAATAAGTCAGTCTATCTAAATAAATAAGTCAGTCTATTTAAATAAATAAGTCAGTATATCCAAATATCAGTCAGGGTAAGAAAGGGATATTTAACATTGCAGGTAACGAATAAACTTGAGTATTGCGGTGAAGCAGAAATATTGTCGTACTCTGATAAAGACATCAGTATTCATAGATGTGTATAAGACTAGACTTATCAGCAAATTACAGGACATTTGTTAACCCTCAGCAAAATACAGGACATTTGTTAACCCTCAGCAAAATACATGACATTTGTTAACCCTCAGCAAAATACATGACATTTGTTAACCCTCAGTAAATTACCTACAGGACATCTGTTAACCCTGAGTTAATTATCTACTTAACCCGATGACTGATTACCCCGGTTGACTCACTATCAAATAACCAGTTAACTCATTATTTTGTATCCGCGAGAACCACTTGACTAATCAGCACAATATTCAGTTACAAAGAGACTTTTATTATTATTATTATATTATTATTATTATTTTTCAACACAGTTAAGCGATAACCCTAGATAATGTAGCTTTCTAGCACGAACTAACCTGAGGACACAACACCTAAAATATATTTTTGAAAAGTATAATTATACGAAAATTCTTGAATTATTTATCAGAACAGGGATGCTCATTCTTATGGATTAAAACAAAGTTATAAGCTATTTTTTAAGTTTTATCGCACAGTTCTAGAGAATCTGGAAACCGTACATGAAAAATAATCGAAACCTTATGAATATTCTTCATATCGATGAAGGTTAACTGTAACAGACTTGATATATTTGATTTTGTTCTAATTATCTGCCTCTGTAATATGGGATAGTTTAGGGATAAGCAAACTGAACTGTAAATTGATCCAGAGTAGGAATTATAAGCCGGATTTTAATTTTCCCCGTAGCAATATCATAAGCAGGATTTTAATTTTCCCCGTAGCAATATCATAAGCAGGATTTTAATTTTCCCCGTAGCAATATCATAAGCAGGATTTTAATTTTTCCCGTATCAATATCATAAGCAGGATTTTAATTTTTCCCGTAGCAATATCATAAGCAGGATTTTAATTTTTCCCGTAGCAATATCATAAGCAGGATTTTAATTTTTCCCATAGCAATATCATTATAAATGAAGAATTTTTTTTTCTGGGGGAATATCTCAGCACTGCGGCATATTTTTTAAGAGTAATTATTTTAATGTGACTTGGCACTTATGCAATTTTTGAAGCGCATAACCCGATAACAAAATTTCAAGAACACATAAAACACAAATTTAAACAAAAAATACAAAAATTCAACAACAGTGTTATAGGTCCAAGTCGAAGTGAACTGATTGGATGACACGTTTAACAACAATTGGATAAAAAAAATCAGTAAGTAGGCTGGTAAATGAGGTAACGTTAAGTGGTAATTCAACTTAGGGTAAACAGATGTCAACTGTGCTGGTAATTCCAGTCTTATATAGATAATCATAATTATATTTCCGCTTAGGAAAATTGTTGAAAGTTTTATTACTCAGTTAAGACTGAGTAATAAAGTAATAGCTTAGAGTAAAGGCCTTTAGGTGACGAATTGAAGTCTTTATTAAAATATCTATTGGGTTCAAAGCAAGAAACGATTTCACTTTCAGCCTTGATAAAAATTGAAAAATAAATAATAATAAATAAAAATAGAAACCTTACAGTAACTATTTCTCACGCTAGTAACCATTTATCACGGTAGTAACCATTTCTCACGGTAGTAACCATTTCTCACGGTACCTAGTAACCATTTCTCACGGTCACTATCACACCACCATCTGTTGGTATCATGGTACTATAAGCGATTGAAGTTACGCTGGCGACATAAAAAGTCAAAATATCGTACATTTAAAGCTAAAAAATTGCTTTTGTTAAGGCATCAATAACGTATTTTTCAGCTCAGAACAACTTAAATTTAGGCCCTGACCACATAGTAATCCAATGGCCAAATGACACTCCATTAAGATACTATTAAGATGAAATTCATATAATTATAATAATTTGATTTTGTTGTAGTTGTTGTAGCTCAACGGCGACCGAAATAACAAAAAATTCTCATCACATAAAATTGTGCAGTCGCTAGACCACTGGAGAGGCCATCTCTCTCAGTGGGCCCCTAGATGTACTGGCCCATCTCTCTCAGTGGGCCTCTAGATGTACTGGCCCATCCCTCTCGCCCACTGGGCCTCTAGATGTACTGACCCAACCCTCTCGCCCACTGGGCCCATCCCTCTCGCCCACTGGGCCTCTAGATGTAATAAATAGGGTGATAAATGTGATAAATAGGGTGATAAATGTGATAAGTAGGATGATAGAGATGCCGGTCCAGCACCTGTGGGAGATAAATGGGATAAATAATGTTATAGAGAAGCTGGTCCAACCTATTCTATTCTTCAAAAAATTTTCAAGTCTCAGGAGACAAACTCTGTACACCCACCTTCCTGAGCGCCTTGAGTCTGTAAGGGTCCACTCTGGCAGTGGCAAGGGACAGCGGTTCAGGCGTGAACCGCAGTCGCTGGATCCTGACCATGGTTCGCACCACGAGGATGGCGAACTTGAAATGCTTACGAGCGTTGAAGGTTTTCTCCAACTTGACGTGCTGCTCGAACAAACCAATAAACTTTACTCAATCATGGGACAAAGGTGATACAATCAAGGGCAAAAGTTACTCAATCATGGGACAAACGTTACTCAATCATGGGCCATGTGTGATTCAATCAAGGAACAAACGTTACTCAATCATGGGCAAACGTTACTCAATCATGGGCAAACGTTACTCAATCATGGGCAAACGTTACTCAATCATGGGCAAACGTTACTCAATCATGGGCAAACCTTACTCAATCATGGGCAAACCTTACTCAATCATGGGCCAAAGGTGATTCAATTATTAGCTAAACGTTACTCGATCATGGGCCAAACGTAACTCAATCATGAGCTAAACGTTACTAAATCCTGGGCCAAATGTGATACAATCATGGGCAAACGTTACTCAATAAAGTCCCAAACGTTACTCAATCCTGGGCCAAGGGTTGCTCAATCCTTGGTCAATGGGTTACTCAATCCTTGGCCAAGGGTTACTCAATCTTGGGCCAAGGGTTACTCAATCCTTGGCCAAGAGCTAGTCAATTACATCCTAAATGCTTACATATTATAAAATTGTATATTTATAAACACATATTAGATAGAGATAAGAAATTGAGTTCCGAAAAGACCTTGGGAAATGGCAGCTCACCTCAAGATATAAGCTGCAGCAGTCAAGCCGTGGCGACGAAATAAGTTTAAGCAACTAAAACACTAGTTAAATCAGTTCAAGATATAGATTAGAAGTTAAGCAACTTATAACACTAGTTAAAACAGTTCAAGATATAGATTAAAAGTTAAGCAAATCATTCTAAGCAGTTGGTGAATCATTCAAATCATTCTAAAAAGTTTTAACTTGGAAAGTTAAAAAGTCAATGACCAGAAAATATAATTGCAAGCAGCTTGAGAAGCGCAAATGGAGATATGAATATAGAATATAAGTTTAAGCAATTCACAAAATATATTAGAAGGTAAAAAAAATTATTGTAAGCAGTTGGTCTGGACAGCTGAGGAGGGCTTAACAAATTGATTTTAAAATATTGGAAAAGATTACCTATTATATAAGGTGTAGGAGCGGCTTGAACCAAGGAATGTTTTAAGGACAATCCATAAACGTTAAGACAGCATAAAGATACTTATACACCAGGGCCTATACTTTTAAAAAAAGTTAGGAGATCGTATGTTCATGAACCAATCACTGACGGTCTTTCAAGCAAAATACACCAATCATATAGACAAGAAAATAGTGCATAAGTACTTACGTTCACTTAGCGAGTTATGAAAGTATGGCCCCAGGACACTGCAGTAGTAGCGGCAATTAAACATTTAAATACTAACTGCGACTAATTGTCACGCTACTGGCCTTGTGTAAATGGTTACTGTGTCTTTCTGTGGCCAGTAGCGCTTTTACACAAGGCTAATAAGGCCGTGAATAGTGGCGGTTAGCATTTGATAGTTGACTGGCTGCCACTAGTGTCTAAAGTATAAAAGTACTTTTCCTGGGCCTATACTTTCAAAAAATGTTAAGAGATCGTAAGTTCATCAGCCAATCATTGGCGGCCTTTCATGCAAAATCCAATCCACCAATCATAGACAAGAAAATAGTGCATAAGTACTTACGTTCACTAAGCGAGTTATGAAAGTATGGCCCCTGCACCGATAAAAAATAGCTGAAAATTTCGATACGGTAACTACACGAGAAATGTATTGTGTACCAGGTTAACTGAATCGTAAAAAATAAAGAATGAATACAAATATTGTTATCAAACAAATAAATTTTCAAAGAAGGCTAATAAATATCGCATTACGAACTAAAGAGAAAAACTACGTTTATTGTGTGTAATGCTATATTAATTCCAACGACGAACGTGCTCGTAAATGTGCAATACGAGTATGAAGTGAGTACAGCAGTATTTTTACATTCATAATAAAATGCTCGGAAATTTTGGCCTATAACTGAATAAGAGACAAAATAATGCGAGGAGAAAATATAGTTCTAAAGAGCGTACATTGAAATAACTATACATGCAGTGGGCAGGTGCAGAGGAAAGCTACACTACAAGAAATAAAATTAATTTTCAGGTGAAAGGGGAAAGCTATACTGGAATAATAATAATCAAATAAAATTGGAAGGGAAAGCTACACTAGAATTATAATAATAATTTGCAGGTGGAAGGGGAAAGCTACACTAGTATTATAATAATAATTTGCAGGTGGAAGGGGATAGCTACACTGGGATTTATAATCAATGGGCAGGTGGAAGGATAAAGCTACAGACAGTACCTACCCAACACGAATATGAAGTTGAATTGCCGTTGATTGAACTATGTGCCGTTGAAATTTACGTCGATTAAACGTTGTTTCACCGTTATTTACCTAGAGAGATGGAATTCCGACCAGACGAATAACGTTGATATAACGATTAATCGACGTTAATTCAACGAAACAACGCTTAATTTAACGTCAGATATCTTGTAGGAACGGTCTCGAGCAACCTTACCTGAGAGGCAGCATTAAACTCTTAACCGTACACGATAACGATTTCAACCGTATAGGTAATCAAATTGCCTTTACGGTCAATTCAGGCATATGATTTCTTGTAATGCTACAGGTTACAAGATTTCTACATTGTACCAGTAAAAATTCGATGAAAATTTTCTTTTGTCTTTGGAAATTATTTTGAAAAGGATTTGAGAGTGAACGGATTATTAACAAATTAAGATTTTTTTTAATAATAAGTTGCATGGCCTGTATTATTTAAAATAACGAGTCTTAAACTTCATGATTAGCATCAAAATAGATTTATAGCGCAGGATTTACTAATGGCCCTGGGATAACTTATCCGATTCATGGTTCTTGTTTGACGTATAATTGTTCGCGTTGTGTTATCTTCCAAGATTATTCATCAGTACATAATTAATATGCCAGTTATATTTAAATTTGGTGTAGTTAACCAATTAATTCCCGGATAAGATGAATAGTTTTCGTTTTATTCTTCATCCAAATTTTCATAAATAATATGCGTACTATAAACAAAAAATTTTATGAATAGAAAACTATCGTGCTCTCGTGCTCTCTAAAAATTTCAATACACTGCATAGCCACGAAAAAATATGTATTTTAACGTAATATTCCAGATTTTCTAACGCACGATAAAGTGAGCACAAAAATATAATTTATTTCATCAAATAATACAAAATTAGTTTAGTTTTTACGACCGTCTGCCCTCACTGAGCCCTCGTCGGTGGCACACTCAGAAAAGAAATGGGGCATACACTGTTAGAAAAATTACCGTCAAGGGTATTACCGGCATTTCAGTGGCCAGTCGGCACGTGAAAAGAAACACCGTGTCGCCGTTTTTATTCTAATTTAACACTATAAATCCGTAAAACATCTGATAAAAACGGCGAAACAGTTTATTTTCACGGGGCGACCGACCACTAGAATGCCAGTGGGACCGTTTTTTCACCGTTTTTTCTAACAGTGTATTGTCCAAATAGTGACACACTTTCTCCTCGCAGCACCGACACGTTCTATTGCCGTGCCAAATTGGATCAAGAAGACCCAAACAAGGGCACTATTTGGACAAAGACAAATCACTATTTGGACAAAGTCCCATTCATTTAAAGTTCATTCAATAGGGGGAAGAACTTTCCCCCTATTCCAAGTAACTTCCTTTAATTCCAAGTTCCTTGAAGGAACTTTAATAGTTCCGTCATTCATTCAAAGTTCCTTCAAATAGTGAATGGGACAAAGTGCCCATTCACTATTTGGACAAAGTCCCATTTCTGCCCGAGGGCAGAAATATAATAATTCGAGGTCACCTTAAGGGGGGGCGGTGAGCCGGGCGCTGTATTGCTGATGTCAGCGGCAGAGGGGCGCCGTGCGGCCGGCTGACAGGGGGCGAGATAATACAAGGAAATCGCTCAGAAACTTGAGGAAAACCAGGGAATAAATTGCTCAGGAATTTGGAAAATATGGAACAAGTCGGTCAGGATTTGGGGAAAACAGGGAATAAGTCGTTCAAAACGTGGTAAAATAGGAAGCAAGGCACTCAAAACTTGGAACATTGGTGTAAAATTGCTCAAAACTTGTGGAAAACCGGGAACAGGTCGCTGAAAACTTGGAGAAACAGAGAGCAAAGCGTGCAGAATTTAGCAAAAGAGGGAATAAGTCGCCAAGAAAGTGTTAAGGAAAGAAATATGAACATTCGGCCCAATTGTCAACTGGTCGGAAATTTTTGTATAGAGCAAGTAGCAGCAGGGGAATGTGAATTCAGAAAAATGAGTGGGACTTTGTCTAAATTGCGATGCACATTTTGCATATGTGTGTATGTCATCCTGATGGTAGCGCATGCCGAAGGTAAACTTTGTTCAACTTCACACTAATGTTTCCGAATGGTGCCACATGTCCACGCTCACCTCATAAGCTGTATATGGACCAACTTACTCCTGCCAACCTTCTCATGGCCTAACCTACACACGTTGCAACATTTCTCCACCCGAAGAAACATAAGCGGACCTAGCCTATCCTCATTGGCTGCTGGAAGTTAGAGAGGCGGGGCAAGTGAGCAGGCAAATGCAGTGATTGGCTGCAAGAAGGGTGAGAGTCGGGGTAGCGTGAATAGGTTAGGCCAGAAAAGGCTAGTCTGAAGAATATGCGTGGGGCCAGAGGCAGTAGTGCTTGCTTATGATCGAGCATATTCAAGTATTGGCTGAAGACCTATACGGCGTTATTATATATGTGAGCTGTGTGTCACTGGTCTAGATTTCGGTGTTCCAGAGTAGCCTGCGGCCTCTAGCTCTGGAGCTAAGTGGTTATTGCACGCTTAGGCTGGGCGTTGGCTTCAGGGCTTATTAATAAAAGTTTAATTTAAGAAATAATAAATCGGACTTTATTTTTATATAGAGTTTCAACAGTTTTTCAAGTTTTCTAAAAACTTCCTTTTCAATTACACTTAGGCGTCGAATAAACGGATTATTTTGTCTAATAGCTATTGCCTCCGCTATTCTAAGGTCTAATACTTCAGAAAAAGAATGAATGACAGAGAAGCAGTCGGATATGTTGTTGGGAACAGGGCTGTTATGGTCTTCAACGACCAGAGTGTAGACCAGACCAGAGACCAGAGTGTAGATAGCCGAAACGTTAGAATATATGGATTTTTATTTCAGAACTGCGATCGTGTCTTTTTTATCCAGAATCATTATTCTACGCCTAAGTGTAATTGAAAAGGAAGTTTTTAGAAAACTTGAAAAACTGTTGAAACTCTATATAAAAGTTTAATTTGTAAAGTTTAATTTGTAAAGTTTAATTTGTAAAGTTTAATTTGTAGCTCACGGCAGCGCCTTTATCTTACCAATTTTGCTCGGCAAAAAGGGCGTATCACTGGTCTCATGTCCGCACTCTGCTCGTGCTATTTGTACGTAAAGTGTCTCACTATTTGGACAAAATGATCCATTCATTTTTCTATGAGTGGAAGGCTAACTGCAACACGACACCCGCGTACTAGACTATATGTATTATCAACACAATTTTCAACTGTTTCATATTGGTGCATCATTGTAACAACTGTAATAATACTGCAGTGTTTATATGGAAACACAGATAACTTGAAAATTTGTCAGGTTAACTTTCGGTTTTAGAAGATTAGTGCGCACACGAAATTTTGGTTTGATATTTCTCATCTGTGAATATGCGGGAAACGTACAACGTTAATAAAAACTCGGTGTGATGTTAGGACGAGAGAAGATGTTGGCAGAAGAAATTTGAAAGGGACAAAACACGACAAAAATATGGAGCATACAATATTTCGTGTGAAGAAGAGCAGCAAAAGAAACGATGAAAATTTGAAACGAGATCAAAGGCATTAGCATTTAAAAAAAGGCAAGATGCGCGAAAAATTATTAGACCTGGCTCATTTTGGCAGAGCTAAGCAGTTCAAGTATACGAAATAGCAGCGGTTTAATCAAGGCTCAATCGTGAACCAATTAATTCAATTATTTTATAGACCGGTGAATAAGTGCGCGGAAGCTGTCGGCGGTGAATGAAAGTTACTATTGAGAGTGATATGATCAAAAGAGTGATACACTTTTTGCGTTTTCTGGGTCATCCTGACCCAGTTAGGGTTCGTAATAAGGTGTATTATTGTTCTCTGGTTGTATTATATTGTAGTTGTATTAAAAGTTGTATTATATTGTCCGTTCTCTGGTCGTGCTGTGAGTACGAAATTGTGTCACTATTTCGACTAGCGTTTGATGCCGATCGAACCACGGCTTTTATTGCATTTATTTAACTTGAGACAAAATGAACAACTTCTTGGATACGATGATTACAACTCGGCTTTTTGAGTTGTTATTTCGGTAACAATTTAAGTGTGTAATGACATCAATTAGAATCATGGGAGGCAAACAGGCGCAAGATGCCCTAGTAGCTTCATTACTATAGTGGCACCTAAGCTTATCTGCTTATGGGCATTCACTTGGATGTCTCTATTATTTTGTAAATGTTTTTCTTTTTCTCTTTTGAATTGTAACTAGAGCTCCTTTGTGAATAAAAATCAATCAATCAATCAAAATCAATCAAACAATTACAATAAAGATCAATAAGTAAACTGGGTAGTATGTGTGAATGAGCAAGTGCTGCTTCATGCAATCATTCAGTATTCAGTAAAATCTCAATTTATGACAAAATTAATTCTATGCCAAGGTAGAAATGCACGTGTCGTGATAAACATTACTATACAAAATGCACAAAGATCAACTTAAAAAGACAAAAAATGAAGGTGAATACGATAATAATGGAGAGAAAAAAATGTTCGGATTAGCCATCTTCCAAATGATGGTTAAAAATAAATTTTCTATGTAAAAAATAGCATCGGAATGTCAAAAATTTCTCGACAAGAAATAACATTCACGCAAACTTACCTCGTCTTGCAGATGTTGCCCATACATATAATGCTTTGCAGAATAACCATAACGTCTGATACTCCAACATCTTTGAAACCTTAACATCTATGCTTATAGTGATCCAAAATTTTTAACAATCTACCATTAAGATGTAAAACATTCCAGTCAGAAAATCACGAAGCGTGTTATCTTATACAATGATGAAACAAAACACTTTATCCTGCGGAAGATTATTGTCGTATCTCAAGTTGAATTATTCATTCCATGAAACTATGAATATAAAAAATTAATAAGACTCATTAGCATGATTGACATTAGAGCTAATCGCTCGTAAATTATTCAGCGTATCTGAAATTAGATTCAATACGTTCGCGATATAGTCCAACGGTTATTTCTGGAACCACAAGTTCATTACCGTATTAATGGCATAATGATCAAAGTAATTCAATGCTGAATGATGAGTTAGAATCATTATATAGTTGATAATACGACAACAAACACAGAGGCACATCACGGCGAACTGGAAGAATGAATGTAACAATTAAGCATGAATGAAACAATAAAGAATGAATAACAATAAAGTATAAATGCAACAATAAAGAATGAATGCATCAATGAAGAATGAATGTATAATAAAAAAGTGTCAAAATTCAGAAAAAGGACGAGTGAAAAGTTCGCAGTACAAGAATAAAAAGGCCGGTCAAACTTGCGGATTAAAAAAATTGACTTTGCAATTGATAGCGCATTGCTATCAATTGTAAGTAATAAAGATGAATGTAGTAATTCAAGCGCATTGCTATTAATTGCAAGTAAGAAAGTATGTAATTTAAAACTTACGACAAGCTGGAAGAAGGGATGCTCGAAGACCTCGTCGATTGTGATGCGCTTCTCAGGGTCAACCACAAGCAGCTTAGAGATCAGGTCCTTAGGAGCGTCTGTTGGGCGTGAACACTTTGCTTGAATTTATGGCTAATGTATTTATTCACATATAGGGGTTAGCCAAAGTAAGGGAAACATCTGACATTTTGATATCTTAAGTTTTTGATATATTTTAAACAACGAAAACGTGGATGATAACGCGGATGTCGTGGGTTTAGAGGCGGCGATCCATCGTGGCCTGGGACTGCTAACGTCCCAAACAAATACTAAGGATACTAAGGATACTAAGCATATTTTTATGTTTTATTGTTGCTGCTAATTGATATTTTATTTGCACAGATATTTTTTGTAATTTTTTGTGTCTATAACCTAACCTATAACAAATCAATGGCAAACCTCTCTGACTTTCAAAGAGACAAAATTTTTGGTGCCCGTATGGCAGGTGCTAGTGTGACAGAAACTTCCCGAATGCTTGACGTTTCTAGAGACGGCAGGTGCCATTCTGATGGCAGGTGCCAGTGTGACAGAAACTTCCCGAATGCTTGACGTTTCTAGAGGTACTGTCTCAAGAGTAATGACTGCTTCACTGTTACAAAAATTACCGTTAACGGTATTACCGGCGTTTCAGTTTCCGGTCGGCACGTGAGAAGAAACACCGTGTCGCCGTTTTTATTCTAATTTAACCCTAGAAATCCGTGAAACATCAGTTAAAAACGGCGAAGCAGTTTATTTTCACGGTGCGACCGGCCACTAGAACGCCAGTGAGACCGTTTTTTCACCGTTTTTTTCTTACAGTGTATACAAATGCCTCAAAACGATTAGAGTGGTGTAAATACCTCTAGAATTGATCCTTCGAAAAGTGGAAAATGTGATTTTCTCTGATGAATCATCGTTTTCCTTACTTCCAGCCTCCGGCCGAGTCTACGTTTGGAGACAGCTAAAAGGCTCATTCAACCCTAACTGCCTCCTCCCAACCGTACAACATGGCGGAGGGTTTATCCAGAATCCCACAGCTAATTTTCGAACTTAATAAATTTTTAAGACAACAAACGCAAGAAAAATCCTATTCAACACATAATTCCTACATAACTCGGTATAAAATTAAATGAAAAATGCAATTTAGCAGCAGCACTGACCGGTAATGTCATCCCACTCCGGGGTGTGCAGCGAGTAAACTAACTAAACTTAAATAATTAAAATAACAAACCGTGAAAAATCCCATTCAACACATAATTCTACATAACTCTGTATGAAATCAAATGAAAAATACAATTTAGCAGCAGCACTGACCGGTAATGTCATCCCACTCCGTGGTCTGCAGCGACTAAACTTAATTAAAATAACAAACCGTGAAAAACCCCATTCAACACATAATTCCTACATATGAAATTAAATGAAAAAAATATAACTCAGTACTCACAGAAGTGAGTGACAGAGAGCGCATTTTCTCGTCGACGAAAACTTGAGCTCACGGACGGACGGACAGACAGACGGACATGGCGAGCATTTTTGCATCTAGTGCATTTAACATAGTGCATTTTTTCCATAAATGAGAAAATGCGTTAAAAAGGCAATTTAGCAGCAGGACTGACCGGTAATGTCATCCCACTCCGGGGTCTGCAGCGAGTATTTGCCCTCCATGATGTTGCGGATCATGACCATCTGCTTGCGGTGCCAGAACGGCGGACACCCCACCAGCCTGTAGCACACGAGTGTCATACAAGTCCCAGGTATATTATAAGTAACTTAATACATATTACCTTATTAAATAACTCAGTACCTCATTAAATATCTCAGTACCCTAATAAAATGGTTACCGCGGCACACGTGTTTCATACAAGACCCAGGCATATTCAAGTACCTTAATACATATCATTACCTCATTACCTCTTTAAATTTCTCATTACCTCATTAAATACCTCACTAACTCATTAAATATCAAATTACCTCATTAAATATCTTAGTATAGCATAATAAATAGCATTACCTCAATAAATACCTCATTACCATATTAAATACCTCATTACCTCAATAAATATAATCACCTCATTAATAGGTACCTAATTATCTCAATAAATATAATTACCTCAATAAATATCTCATTACCTCATTAAATATCTCATTACATCATTAAATATCTCATTACCTCATAGCCTCATTATATATCTCATTACCTCATAACCTCATTATATATCTCATTACCTCATTAAGTACCTCATTACCTCATTAAATATTTCATTTCCTCATTAAATTCCTCTTTACCTCAATAAATATATCATTACCTCATTAAAGATTTAATTACTTCATTAAATACCTCATTTAATATTTCATTACCTCATTAAGTACCTCATTACCTCATTAAATATTTCATTACCTCATTAAATTCCTCTTTACCTCAATAAATATCTCATTACCTCATTAAATACCTCATTACTTATTTTATTACCTTTTTAAATACCTCATTTAATATTTTATTACCTCATTAAATACCTCATTACCACTGTTTAGTCATCATTCACCAATTAAATAAGTTATTACCCAGGTTACCTAGAATTCCAAGGCTAATATACGAATTAAAGTAATTTTAATACAAGAAAGACTCGGTAAAATTTCTTTTCAACATATAACTCCTGTTCAACTCCCGTTCCGAAGTTTGATGCTCTAGCCATCAAACAAACAAAGAAATATTAATAAAATAATAATAATTAATAATAATAATAATAATAATTAATACTAATATAATAAATAATAATAATAATTATAATATTAATAAAATTATACTTACAATGTGTACATGATCACGCCGCATGCCCACCTGAAAACCAGTAAATGTTTTATTACCATTAACATTTTCCTAGTTTTATTTTTTAACAAATTTCCAGTAATTTATAAATAATTTCAATCAATTTATTTACGCGAAAGAATTTGCAAAGACAAAAGTCGATCGAGACGAATCAATTAATAAATATATATTATTAACGATAAGATAAATAGTAGATAGGTTGTAGTTTTCTAATCTATGTATGCGTGCTAGCCGGGAATGGGCATACAGGTTATTCTTTAACTATTTAATAATGAGATACTTACGTGTAATATTAAATATTATTATATATTTATTATTAAGTACAATATTTATTATTATGTGCTTGTCTGTGGGTCTGATGAAATATTTACGAATTAGAGTGGTCTACAAGTCTACTGGAGAGACACTTACGTACAATATACTGGCCTGCGGGTCTACTGGCGAGATACGTAAAGGTCTAATAGCGTGATACATACGTTACAACTCCTGGTCTGGGGTCTAATAGCGTGATACGTACAAAATACAACAAATAACAAAAAGATTGCAGACAGTAAAGTCAACGTGCAGTTTACAAACAATGTAAAACGTTGAGCTGACAATTCACGAGCAGTTAAAATAGCGAAAACAGGAATGACGAATAAAAAAAGAAAGGTTAACATCTAATAAAAGAGATCTGCAAATGCAAAGAATGAAAATGGTTCTATAGTAAAAAAATTATTTAAAACCTGTTTCGTGGCCTGCAAACTGCATATGATTAGTTTCAGATTAATATATTTAATTAGCAAAAGAGGGAAAATATGGATTATTGAGAAAAAATGTAAGAAGTTTTTCTTTATTAACGACGAAGAAAGCTTACTCACATGTTCACCTCACACATGTTGCCTACTCACATGTTCACCTCACACATGTTGCCTACTCACATGTTCACCTCACACATGTTGNATTGATTACATTTATGTTATATTGCCGCAATTGTTTCGTTTACAGCATTGATTACATTTATGTTATATTGCCGCAATTGTTTCGTTTACAGCATTGATTACATTTATGTTATATTGCCGCAATTGTTTCGTTTACAGCATTGATTACATTTATGTTATATTGCCGCAATTGTTTCGTTTACAGCATTGATTACATTTATGTTATATTGCCGCAATTGTTTCGTTTACAGCATTGATTACATTTATGTTATATTGCCGCAATTGTTTCGTTTACAGCATTGATTACATTTATGTTATATTGCCGCAATTGTTTCGTTTACAGCATTGATTACATTTATGTTATATTGCCGCAATTGTTTCGTTTACAGCATTGATTACATTTATGTTATATTGCCGCAATTGTTTCGTTTACAGCATTGATTACATTTATTTTATATTGCCGCAATTGTTTCGTTTGCAGCATTGATTACATTTATATTATATTGCCGTGAATGTGCCTTCGTTTACAGCATTCAAGTTATATTTCTGTAATTGTTCCTTCGTTTACAGCATTGATTACATATAAGCTATATTGCCGTAATTGTGCCTTTGTTTACAGCATTGATTACATTTATGTTATATTGCCGTAAATGTGCCTTTGTTTACAGCATTGATTACATTTATGTTATATTGCCGTAATTGTTCCTTTGTTTACAGCATTGAAATAATTTGAGTTATATTGCCGTTATTGTTTCTTCGTTTACAGCATTGATTACATATATGTTATATTGCCGTAATTGTTCCTTCGCTTACAGCATTTAAGTTACATTGCCGTAATTGTTTCTTCGTTTACAGCATTAATTACATTTACGTTATATGGCTGTAAATGTGCCTTCGTTTACAGCATTCAAGTTATATTTCCGTAATTGTTTCTTTGTTTACAGCATTGATTACATTCATGTTATATTGCCGTAATTGTGCCTTCGTTTACAGCATTGATTACATTTAAGTTATATTGCAGTAATTGTGCCTTTGTTTACAGCATTGATTACATTTATGTTATATGGCCGTAATTGTGCCTTTGTTTACAGCATTGATTACATTTAAGTTATATTGCAGTAATTGTGCCTTTGTTTACAGCATTGATTACATTTATGTTATATGGCCGTAATTGTTCCTTCGTTTACAGCATTGATTACATTTATGTTATATTGCCGTAATTGTGTCTTTGTTTACAACATTAATTGATTACATTCGTGTAACATTTCCTTCGTCAATTGCCTATTTGTACAATTGATAGAGATAGATGGTTATTTAGGTATGGGCAATTACATTTTCCCGATTTTTCTTCAATGGATGACTTTATTATTACACATTTAGACGAACGAATAATAATTGAATGTTTACGATATATACTTTTTTAACGAGGAATGTGCATTTTCTAAGTACAATTTAGTTTTGTGGGTTTCAATTACGACCCAATTAACAAATGGGCTTCATATAGAATCACCAAACTTGCATCTAACAATAAAAAATTTTGTGTGTACGATAAACCAAATGGGAATCTATAGGCAGACCAAATACAGAAACAAATTGAATGCAAAAAAAAAATGAAGACCAAAAGTTTCTTCAATTGATATCAAATTTCGTTTGGATCTCGGATGCAATTCGTTCGTTGGGATAAATTTGGTCACTTTACTTGGATAAAACAAGTAAAATATTTAAATGTATGTTTAGTGTATGTGATGAACGTGGGTATGAGGGATGAAGGGTGAAAATAATGTCTTAGATAAGGACAGATATATACAAGTGGAGAGCGGAGAAATAACAAACCAACAGAAATGCAAAAAAAAAAAATATTTAAAGATTCGACACAGCTGGACAAGATTACGGTGAAAATTAACAATAACAGCAAAAAACATGAAATATTAATAATTAAAATGAAAAAATAAGAACTCCAGATGAGAAGAAAAAACTAAAATTCAAGCAGAACAAAATGAACCAAAATATCAGTAACGCAACAGATATTGAATAACTATTGTCAAATACACAACAAAAGTGTTTACAAGGATTAGAAAAGTGAGTCTTAAATAAAGGGAATGTATTTCGCGTTAATGTAAATGATATAAATCTTCAGCCAAATAGTAAGCTTCAATATTAAATTAACCACGTTAAAGTTACTGTACAGCGTACACTGAGTACACGCTATGTACCACTTTACCTATTTATTAGCCGCCAATGGGTTACATTACTAGCATTTGATTATCCTTTTTGTATAATAATTAATTTAAAACAATTATTTGCATAATAAATAATTGTTTAAATTAATTATTATACAAAAAAGGATAATCAAATGCTAGTAATGTATAATAATTAATTTAAAACAATTATCATTTTGAATAGGTTTATAGTTTGTAAGCAGTTGGCCGCCGACACCAGGTCAGTGACGCGTTTTCTACTGTTGCAAATATTAAAAAATTAAAAAATAACTTTAAAAAACTTGCAAATAAATTAACCTTATAAATATATAAGCCACTGTCAAATGAATAGTAAAGAAGTGTCAATGCCGAGACTACAATAATATACTATATTAGATTACCAATATATATGAATATTTTATCATGTGAAATAAAATTTTTGAAAGCATGCACAATAAGCGTTATTTGAAAACATGCTACGAAAAATACAATACATGTAACGGCACGTCAGAGAATGATTAAAAGCATCTACACCGATTAAATCATTTATGTTAATGCAGAGAGTAATTACAAAACTATTTATATATACATGCATACAGGATGCGCCAGAGAAACTTCATCTTTTACAGAGAAAAATGCGTTTTTACTGCGCGAAAACGAATTTTCACAATTTGTCAATTTATTTTCTTGAAGTTTTGAAAACAAGAAAAGAAATCGCTTTGAGCCAAATCTGGAGAGCAAAATTTGTCAATTTTTGACGATAACAAATAATTGTACGTCTTAGATGCACCCCCAAAATAAAATTGAAAAAGAGGGTTTCCGATTTTCGAGTCGGTTTAAAAAAAAGAAGACTCAAACTATCGGACGAACCCTGCCAGCTTTTGCCATAAGATACACTCAGAAAAGTGAAGGGGTCAGAGTGTCCGAATAGTGAAACATTTGCTACACGTAGCACTGATACACTCGTATGTCAAGCTAAAATGGATCAACGTTACCCATTCAGGGACAAAAAAAACATTTGTACTAGTCACACTCGTTTATCTGACGGCAAATTGTATAAAAGGAAGTTTCTCTCACGCACTTTGTACGTAAATCATGCATTACATCAACACAACACATTTGAATAAAATAAACACATAACTTTTCTTTCAATAAATTCAGAAATTAATAAAATAGAACGGCGACCATTTAAAATAATCACGCAGGGATGCAGCATGCGACTTACCGACATACCGCAGACTCCATAGTTATTTATATTAAATATATCTATACAGAAAAGTTAATGGGTCGTAGTGCCCAAATTGTGACACTTTCTTACGAGATGCCTGTCGGAGACCACCACTGCCGTGTTTAAAATAGATCATCATGATCCCTTCCCTCAAGGACTTAGCTTATAACACTTCTTAACTGTAGCAACATCAGCCACAAGCCACCAGACCATTGAAGTAGACCAATCAGCCCACAGTAAAACAGCCTGCAATGGTATTCCAAGAATCGTCTGCCAGTGCGCGAAAAAATTCTGCCAAGTTCTAAAATCGCACGCCGGAGCGTTGCAGTAAATTTGTGGACCGCCAACAACCCGTCCATATTCATCCTTTGCATTGAATCAGCCCTCGGTCGAATTGCGATAAATTTTGAAACAGAACTATGCTATCTGAAACCCAACCTCAGATGCTGTGAGCTAAAAGTTACGTAATTTAACGAAGCTCCGTAAGTCACTCGTCGGCGGACGATAGATTTTGGAAAAGAACTATGCTATCTGAAACCCAACCTCAGATGCTGTGAGCTAAAAGTTACGAATTTAACGAAGCTCCGTAAGTCACTCGTCGGCGGACGATAGATTTTGGAACAGAACTATGCTATCTGAAACCTAACCCCGGATGTTGTGAGCTAA